ATTCCGTTTTATATGAATTCCATGTTGTACGAGTCACTTAGATTTTACAAATACATGAGCCATTCACAGCCCCGCACACGTATTTGTAAAATCTAAGTGACTCGTACAACATGGAATTCATATAAAACGGAATAATCAACAGTGTTATAGGGGGTCGACTGTACTTTAAGATTAATTAAAATTTCAGATGATTGTGAATGTTGTTTTCAATACTTCCAACATTGAATTTTACTGTATTAGCAAATTTTTCACAATGATATCAGTGTTACGAAGACATTAAATATTTAATACAGTAGACAGTTTTTAAATTTTAAGTTTGTAAGATTGAAGTAGCTTGAATGTTGAATGCCAAATATAAATGGATAGGAATCTAGCATCTTGACTTAAACAGTTCATTGTATATCTCCAATTAATAAATTTTCTGAAGCTAGATCCCTGTAAAGTGAAAAGATTATGCTGAAGAACAACTGATAAAGGTCATTAGGCTTAAAAAAGAACAGAAACTAAATGATTAAATCTCAGAACACAAAGCTGTACACTCAACAAAGTATGTGAATGGATATTTTATCAATAAGGTCAAATTAATGATAAGAAGCTAAAGAAGAAAGCTAAAAATATTTTGATTGCTTATTCAGGTGGAAAAAACTTATCACAACACTGACAAAATATGAATTACCTTCTATTAAGGTAAAAAAAAATTTAATTTTCTGAGAAGAAAGGCAAAATTTGAAAGCTTTGCTGAGCTCTGATCAGAGGTTTCTTTTCAGTAGATCAGGTGACATGGGAAACTCATTCTATAACAATCTTTGAGAGTATTATTATTAATACAAAAGACAGATTCTAGATCAGTAAATAATTGAGAGTATTCAGTTATCCAATAGATCTTTTTATCAAAACAATCCAGTATTTTCAAGGTACTATAGTTTGACTATTAGAAATGAAAATGGAACTGTTAGACTTTAATAATCATTAAACACACAAAAGACTAAAAAATAATGAATTAGAATAAATAACCTAGAAAATCATGGGAATTTGTCATGTTGCAGAAGAAAATCTATTCATATTTTTTCTAAAGATTTTGATCAAACTTTGTACTGATCATAATAAAAAAAATTTCATGAAATATACCAGCAATAATGAATAGAAAGAGTGCATACAATTTATGTTAGTATAACCTGATAGCTGTAAGGAAGTCTACTGGATTATTTATTCAGATTAGAGAGACATACATTCAAATTTCAAATTATGTTAGTATATTTTATGCACTAATAATAAGTGCCCTCATTGTCTTTATAGCTTTAATAATCTGTTAACTAAATTAATTTAAGATTCTTAATAGCTAGACAAAAATGTAAATGAATGATAATAAAATCTGTTCAGTTAATATTTCTGTATCGTATATGGGCTCATGTATCTAGCAAGATTTGTAATCTTACAGGTGGGAGAACCAAAAATCTTTAAAATTAAAATGTGGTTGAATTTTAAAACACATAATTAATTGATAGTTAAAGACATTTCAATGATGTAAAATTTTTTAAATTGTCAAAATGCATTTCATATGCAGCTGAGAATTAATGTAATGTAGTATTTAGGTATAATCTCTAACAATTCAACACAACAATTTATAAAACAGTCAATCTATATTTTGAATTATATAATTATAGTTAGAGATGAATTAGCAACTATACAAATGTTACAAAATGATGATCATTTTAAAATATATGGATGAAAGATAAATTTAATGAAAGAAAAATTAATGTATGATTGTATTTGCTTTAGAATTTTGCTCATTATAATACATGAACAAAATTATTCATTATAAAATTAAACATTAAGATATTCAAAATATTGGTCTTCAATTGATTAGACTGTTTTTATAGTACATAAAACATTTGTTTATTTATTGATCTAATGAATTATTTGAAAAAATTTAATATCCATGATGAAATTGATCATTGCACTATAAAGAATATTCTTTAAAGATGTAAGAATTTCTAGCTGTTTGGAAATTCTTATACATATTTCCTCTGACTACAGTTCATAATTCAATAGATTGAGATCTCAGAAGAGGAGCAACTTTCAGTTTTGATGAAATCTAGAACATTTTTTGCAAACCAGTTTTGTATGGTTTTTGTCTTATAACCTGGAATAAAATTCTGTTAAAATTGTATATGGTGGTTTTTGAGCAATTTATTAATGATTTTCATTAAGTCTTCCAGAATTGTTTCTTATATATAATAACTGATGTTTTATCAATGTTTTAGGAAGGAAACAACTTAATGACCTTATCATATGCAATATTTTATCAAATCACAAAATCATTATAAATGCTGAGTAATGATATTTTTGAACTTCTCCAATTATTCTAGCTATTTCTCAAGAACTGTGAATATACATTTAATTTTTCATTCATTGATTTTTCTTCTGCAGTGAAAATAATCTTATCTATAAACAGATTTATTTTGAGATTTTTGATTATATATTAATTAAGAATGTAATTACTTTAATTTGTTCTATTTTACTTTTTTTTTAATACTGCTTATGTTAACAATGTTTTGTTATGGTGCAAGTCATAAGTTATATCCAAAAGAGTAGTGGAGTGACATATTTGCCAATGTACTAATAAAGTAATAACTACTATTGCAGAATGTCACTAGTATATGCTCAGAAACTTAGAAGTTGTAATATCTAGTGTAAACTGTGTTTCTCTTGTGCCATGAATATAAAAAAATGAACAGAGAACTGTGATTAAATTTTGTTTTAAAGAAGTCTTTCTCCTACAGAAATCCTAAAACTGATACAAAAAGCAAATAATAATGAGACTCTAAACCAGTCTAAGGCTGCATTTATGAAGATGTGAGAAATGCAAGAAAAGAGAGAAAAATAGGAGGAAAAGGAAAACCAAGCAAACCAAGGTCATGCACCAACAGGAGTATACTCTTTGTTTTCCTCTAGTTGCATTTATGCAAAAGCAGGAACAAAAAGAGAATTATGATAAATTTTACAATGAAGTTAAAGAAAGATGAAACAAAAAAAATAAATAAATAAAACTTCTTTATTAACATTCCTTCATTTTTATTTATGGCTTTCCTGTGTATTTTCTTTTTGCAGCTTCTCTGGCTCTTTTCTTCACATTTGACAGATTGCTGATGTTCTCCTTTGTTTCTATTTTATTGTTGTCATTGTGTAGAAGCAAGACTGCTGAACTACTGCATATGTGCCAACTCAGGAGAGGAGAAAAAGCTCAACAGATTGAAATTTTGAGAATGAAGGAAACTAGTGTATTTTTTGCATGTAACACACAAGAACTCTATTTCCCTCTTCTGCATAAACTGCATTCTGAATGCAAATTCTTATTCTAAAAGTTCTGCTCTTTTGCCTGTATTTCCCTCTTCTCACATCTGCATAAATGCAGCCTAATGTCTTTGGGTTCTATTTGTAGTTTCATGATGGAAGGAAATTGATAGATGATGATGAGAGTTCTTTTATTTGAGTCAATCTATCCCACATTGAATCAAATAAAAGAATACATTGCTGCTATTGCTGAGTTGTTAAAAATTGATTGTAAAATAATATCATGGATGACAGCTGAAACTTCGAATTTTTCCAAAAATGTTGCTATTTACATTTTGAGAGAAGATTTGAGGAAGAAGGCATGTGCTTGAACTGTCTCATATAACTTGGCTACTGAATAAAGATCCAAATCAAGTCACATGTTATTAGGACATCATTGCAATGGTGGATGCAGAGGAAAATTTCTGTTGGAAAATCATTATAGGAGATGACATTTGACATTTTGCTTATGATCCTGAAACCAAGTGATAGAGTTCTGAATGGATTAATCAGCTATCTTCCACACCAAAACAATTGAAATTCCAAAAGTCACACATCAAAATGATATTGATCAGTTTTTTGACTCAAGTTATTCACAAAAAGCTTATACTTAAAGGGAGAAGAATAAATGCAGACTTTTATATAAAAAGTATTGTAGATTGTCTCCTGAAGTGATTTCAGTGAATTTGTCCTGCCCTATTCCACTCATGAGATTTTCTTCCTGTTACATGATAAAATGTCCATTCACAAAGGTGTAAGCTTGCATTGACTTTTGACACAAAAAAGTAATTTACACTATTTATCACCCCACTTATTCACCAGATTTGTTCACTTTGAATAGGGTTGCTATATGACCTGATTTATTTTATTTATTTTTTCTATGTGTATAATATGGCCTGTGAAAACATGAAAAACATTTGTAATTTCCACATTAAAATCTTAACCACTGGGTGATTCACTTGAGATCAAACACTTATTGTGTAGAATATCTGTATATAAAGTGAAAAGATGAACATGAAACATAAATGGAACATCTATGAGATAATGCTATGGACCAAGGGGTCTTTTTAATGCCATGTGACCATGCCATCATGAGTTATTAAAGAAAATAAGTGTTCAGACATGAGTGAATCTCCCTGTATCAGTATGGGTTGCTAGCATTGTGCTGTATGAAATAAGATTTGTTTCTGATTGTCACAAAATAGTCTGCAAAAGAGCATATGCAGAAACAGAATAAGAAATACAAGGAAATAGGTAATATATATAAAAGATCAATTTTGCATAATTTCTCAACTGTCATTCTGTAGAGATTTTTGTAACGATTCACAAAATTATGGCCCAAAGAAATATTTTGATGAAATCATAAAAAAATAAAATAAAAGAAAGTAAATATTTGATGAAAAACAAATATTTTTATTGTTAATGTTGGAGCAAATAAATTGGATGGCTGCTAATCTTGCTATATATCTTATGAATAAAATTCTTCATATTCAGAAGTTGAAAAGTTATTCAATGAGAAACAGTAATGATCAGGTTATTCTTTATGTTTACTATAATATTGGATTATTTGTTTAGCATTTCAGTTTTGATTTTCTTATTGAGTTTATTTAATTTTATTTATTTTGATGTAAATAGGAATATGTAAAAATACATTTGTTTTTGAAGGTTCAAAGCAGAAAATTTGAACAGACAGTCAGTCAGTCAGTCAAAATAATCTATTGTCTGACACCACTGAGCATAGCCAGGCAGAAATACAGAAAAATACATAGTAGATACATGCTGTTGGTCATCAAGGGATACAATAATATAACGGCAGAGAAAAGGGAAAGTAAAATAAAATAAAATAAATGAATTAAAATAAATAGAAATAAAAATTAAATAAAAGATTAAAAAATAAAAGAATAAAAATAAAAGTAAACTATAACTAAAGTAACATTGTTGTACCTGTACATGCTGTTATAATAGNTTGATTATTATTACAAATCATTATTAAGTGATATATTTAAAATTTCTTTCAAAAAAATTTCTGGAGAAAAGAAAATTTCTTATTCAATAAGCTTATAATATGCATGATTGACAGGTTTATTACTTTTTTTTTAAAAACAAAATTCAGTACAAAATGGACCATAGATCTATAATTAGGTCATAGAGAAGTTTTTTAAGATTTTAAATTATTAGGACAATGCAAGTGATTTAAGAGTTATGTAAATATAAATTCATAAAGAAAAATATAAATTTTTTAAAAGTGAAATGTATTTTCTTTAATAAAACCTTTTAATTATTCTTAATATAAAACAACATTAATAAGTTACATTTTATTTATTTACCCATTTAAAATCAACATAGTTCCCAAACAATCAAATATTCAAAATAAAAAAAGTTGAATAACCAAACTTGCATATTAGAAAAGAAAAATTTGTTATCATTTATAAGGGCATTGATATATTCAGTTTTTCGAAATTATTTTTCAAGTAATTATAATAGATTTTTAGTAATTAGTTTATTCTCATTTATTTATTTTAGTAAATGTCCTTATTATAGTGAGTAAATAGTTATAGTTTATCTGTAAATTTATAGTTATCATTATAAAATTTATTTCAAAGTTACACTTGAATGATTATTTAGAGCATTGCATGGAAATATTTGATAGATTAATTTTTTTCACTTCAATGTTCCATTACTTGATATGTTATTAACTTTTCTTGTGGAAAAAGGAAATGAAATTTTGTTTCTTACACTTTACAGATAAACTCTCATTATCATTATATAAATACACAAAATATAGTGAAACAAATTAAGTTACATAAATAAAAACAAATCTGTAAAACTTTTGAATTACAAAATTATAACAGAACTAACTTTTGTTTTAGTTATGTGATATTCAACAAAAGTAAAATCAAATCTTAACTAGTAATGACATAATAATGTGTCTTTAACAATGCTTTTTTTGAGGTAAGCAAATTCTTATTTTATAATCTATAATAAGTTTTGAGTAACAGTTTAATAATTTCAATATAACAATTTCAATTTATCCCATTAGAAATTTTTCAAAGTTCAAAGTAATCACTGAAAATACTCTGTTTTTTAATATAAGCCATAAGCTTAACTGTGTTAATACCGTGGAATACCAGATCATCCAACCTGCTACATGAATGAAGGAGTGCTACCAAGAAAAAAAAAAGCTGATGTCAAATGAATAAAGCTGACATTCAAAATAACATAAAGCATTTATTTTTCTGTACTTTTTATTAATAGCTATGCTGATGATTGGATGACATAACAACTTGTTATTTTTGCTTCTAAAGTCTCTAGCTATTTTAGCCAATTGGGTCATAAGAGTATAGATATACAGATTATGATGACTAGATAGTTGAGGAGACTAGGTTATCTGCCCACTGTGAGACCTGAGAGCACATGAGAGATTTGAATTTGGGTCTGAATTGGATCTTCATGAATCTTTCACAATGATTTAGTCATGTTGATATCAGTTCTTCTCTGTCCTTTCTACTTACATTTGTTTTTGTGATGTGTATGTTGCAACCAGTGTGGTGGATATAATGAATTTACCTCAGAAAAACTTTTGAGCACATAAAGAAACATGCATCTTAATCATCCAAATTCCACTTTTATTAGTTAATTATCAAAAATTGATTTAAATTTAATCACTTTAAAGAAAAGATTTAAATACAACATGATTTTTCAGTTTGCATCTGAAGTTTGTATATAGTTAATCGGGGCCTCCTGCCACTAAGGTTTCCATATCTGGTTGCATCTTTCATCTATCTAACTATGCTCTTGAGATTAAGGAAAGACAAACAGACAGACGACAGTGGAAATTTATTTAAGGAAAGACAAACAAATGGACCAGTTTATTACGTCATTAATTAATTAATTAATTAATCAAATTCATTTATTGGGCTACAATTTTTTCATATTGTAGCCCAATAAATGAATTTGATTAATGAATGACAATAAACTGGTTTGCAAAATAGTTTCTCTCACTCTGACTATTACTAGAATAGTTAATTTCCAACTGACGGTTGACTGAACTCAAGTATATTGTAGAATTTTAATTAATATTTTAATTCCAAAATTAATATTTTAATTTTGGAAAAATATACTGGTCATCTTTGAATCAATGCATACAATCCTGCTCCAAGAAACTAGAGTAGAAAATAATAAGCTGGAACAATTCTATTAATTACATTTTACAGTTTTTGCTTCCTCCTTTAGTTTGTTGCAGTTAGATTCTGATATTGGTTTTATTTTTTCAATGTGTTTCTATTGACTGTTTTAAGACAAAATTATGTTATAGAAGCAATAATAAATAGTTATAGTATAAAGGCGGTGAAAAGTTAATTTGTCAAAAACAATCAATATCTGAGATTAAAAAATATTGCACCGAGTAAAAATCATGGCACCCAAAATGAGTCAAATTTTTTCTTGGGAGTTTCTCTTTGATAAAGATAAGCTTGACACTACCATAAACTTTTTATTATTGTCTCTGCACTTTGTGTTCTTGCTTAAACAACATAGTGACATAATGAAGTTTTCAAGAACAAATTTCAAAGATACTTTTTGTTTTAAAATTTAATGTTTATTAAGCTTTTGTATCAGCTTCTAGTCTGAGGACTTATCACATCTTTTGAAATGTTTTCACTTGGACACCAGCTGATCAGCTGATTGAAAAGAAAGTTTTAGTGTGGGTTATTATAAGTGTATTTTTATTTTGCTTTGTACTTGCTTGAATTATTATTTATTATTTTATTTTAAGTAAAATGGCTTGCAGGAATTTTTATATCAAATCAGAAATTTAGAAAACAGCAATGTTTGAGTGTGGTCCATCAGTGGCTGAAACCACTGAATACTGATAGTGGTTGCAGGTTTATGTCTCGCTAACAAGCTGGCTGTATGAAATTTTGTGAGCCTTCTTCACATAACTAATATTTAAAGAGCTAGGTTCCTGTAAAAATCCTGTCAGGAAACACTCCCATTTGGCAGATCTCCCAACTTGCATTGCGTTGAACTATCAATCCAATCCTGGTTTGTGTGTTACACAACTATAAGGATGTAAATGACAGACCTGTAGCTACAAAGGGCTATGTGGTGGCTAAGCCCTCAGTGTAGTAGTGCCCATATGTAGTGTATATATGCTTTTGCTTTCATCACAAACTTAAGTTAATGTTATTTATTCTTACACTTAAACTGTATCAAATAGACATAGTGCTGGCTAAAAAGATTTTTGTTCTATTTTTTAAAATTTTTTTTTAAATATTTGTCTAAATTTTTGTTTTCTATTACTGAGTAGTTTAAATATAGTTAAATAGTATGCGATAAACTTTTTTCCGTTTATTTTTAACAAATTCAAAAAGGTAAAAAAATTAATTTTGTTACCTTTTTGAATTTGTTATATTTTGTTACGTATTTTGATTTTTTTAAAATAATTTATTTGTAAATTAATAAAAGTTTTAAAATTATGGGTGATTCTGGGTATCTAGGGAACTATAGCCCCCTTCTGATTCAACTGATGATTTATGATAATGACTTTTTGAAATAAAATTCGAACATAAAAATAAGAATTATCACTTAAATTTTATATTCGTAAAATATTCTTGTATATCCGAATAGCACAGAATATTTTCAAAATATAAATTCTTCAAGTACTAGGTTCAAATCACTAGTTTTGACTAGTTTCATGCAAATTTTACACCATTCATTCTAAATGCTCTTTCCAGGCACGTTGTAAATTACTTTAGACCGAATTTTCTTTACAATCAGTTTATAGTGGTCATTGTGAGATAAATATTAAATAAAAAATCCACAAATACTTACTTTGACCAGTTATGATCATACAGATGACTATTTTTGGCCATAATAAACAATGAATGAAAAATAAAAGCAATAAAAATTATTTATTTATAAATTTTAATAATGTCGTAACACAAGCAGATGAAAAATTAAATAGTTTAAACTGTCATCTGACATAATTATTATATATATAGGTAAACCTCGATATAACGTCTTTCTAAATAGCACACCCTTACAAACAGAACTTCCCTGTAAAAATATCAAATTCTTCAGTATTTGTAAATTACGAAATGTACGGGACAGTACGATTTTCTATTACAAACGTTTATTTTGCAAACTTGCTCATTAATATTTCGTCATAAGCTGATTCCTCCATATAAGTCTTATTTGAAATCCATCGATTTAGTGCAAATTTTCAGATACGAACTAATGGTGACGCTAAATCGAAGTTTGACTATATGTGTGGACCTCTTAAAAATATTACTGGAGCTACGCCTGATTTAAATATAACTCTACTAAAATTTTAATAAAAAATTAATACAGAAAACAGTCGCCTTTCATTTGTTTTCAGCTCCGGAAACTATTTCATTTTATTCTGTGTGTAGCGTCTTTGCAATCCAAACAATAATTTTGGTAGACGATCAAATAGCGATTCATATGATCGTCTATTAAAATTATTGTTTGAATTACAAAGACGCTACACACAGAATCTGAAGATACAGCAACCATACCTTCTACATTATTTCATTTTAATTTTTATTAATACCTTGTATAAAAATCATCCATTAAAGATTTATTAAGTACTGCATAGTACAGTACATGAATTTGTTAAAGCTACTTATAACCTATTAACAATTACTTCTGTTATACACATTTCAAGAAAACAACATTATCCTGATAGCATTCATGTCCTATTGTTAATGCTATTCAGTAATATATTTCTCAAAAGATTAACTTG